TAAACAATAAAAAATATTTAAAATTTAAAAATATTCTAAACCTAAGACATATGTGACAATCTTTATTTAATACTTTGTAACTTTTAATTTCTAATTAATGTAATATTTTAGTTTTACCTATTAATATTATTTATAAAAAATATTATAAAATGTTGATGTCGCATTTTATTAAACTCTTAAGAGTTTAATGAAGTGTAGAGTTTAATGGGTAAAATGATGAGTAATTTGCGTGTTTAGGGTAATTTGCGAGTTTGGTCCCTAACTTATTTTTTTTTCTCGGAAGGTCCCTATTGTTTGTTTTTGTTACACGTTTGGTCATGTATTCCCTAAAAACACTATTTTTTTCCTTGATTTTTTATTTTATTTAATTAAACACACCCCCAACCCCATCTCCCTCCCCTCAACTTACCTACCCCACCATATTTCCCTATTTAAATAATAGTCTTTTTAGGTAAGACAGGGGCCAAGTGCATAACAAAAAAAAAATAGTAGGGACCAAACACGTAACAAAAACAAACAGTAGGGACCTTCCGAGTTAAAAAATAAGTTAGGGACCAAACGCACAAATTACCCAAAACTGTAGGGACCATTCGTGTAATTTACTCTAAAATGATATAATTAGTGGAATGCGGATGTGGAATACACTGGAGATGGCCTAAGTTTTGCAACAATGTCTCCGCTCTGGTTTCCATGCCCTAATTAAGAATCATAAATGTAATCACAAGAGTTGAAGCCGATTTCTATCACCACAACTCGATTCAATTGATTTAGTAGAATAATTGAGTTCAAGAACGAAAGAACCTACTTTAAATTAAAAAGAGAAATAGTGAGGACAATTTTTATCATTTTTTTCTCACATGGGTTGTTGGAGTGCTATATTTATTGAGAGTTAAATGAAAGCACATTGCTATTTCTCGAAAGAAAAATAGATTAGTGTATTATATGAAAAGATAGTGTTTACTTGAGATAGGAACTTGGAGAATGTGAAAAGAGTGGCAGTTGAGCTTTTTAACAAGGGTTATTTCCATAAAAGACCTTATATTTTGATTTTTTTTTCTTTTTAGACCTAAATTTTTTTTCTTTTCTGAAAAAGACCCAATTTTTTCCTATTACTTGTTATTTTAGACCCTGACATGTTACCAAAAGGGTATTAAGTATTTTCATTTCATAAAAAACCTTAAATTTTGTACTTTTTCCAGTTTAGACCTAAAACGTTTTTTTTTTAATTTCAAAATAAACACAACTTTAAAATTGGTTACAACCTTTAAAACTAGTTGTATAAGGTACTTAACTACACCGATTTAATGAAGCTTAACTTCGTTTATGCATAAAAAAACGTGACCATATCCTTTTAAATTAAAATGAAATCCTAAATTTTATTTTGGTAATTATTATGATTATCTTTAAGAATCAATAACTGTGATATACAAACACCATATATTGATCTAAACACCATGTATACATAAGATAGATTAATAAAATGAGGTGGTAGGCCAACTATTCAATTTTCTTTTTTCAACTACAAAAATCCATAGTGTTGTCATTTTTGCTCATTCACCACATTCCAATCATTGTTATTAATGTCAACTATCGTATTTTGATATTTAAGTGTGCGGTATCATTCTTGTTATTTGGATTTTCAACTTATGCTCAAATGGTTTCATTCCCAAAATATAGTTTTATGTATTCATATGTGATGTTAAGATTTTTTAAGAAAGTCTTAAACTTGAATCTCATATATCTAAACAAAACTATTACGAATGTTTATGATTAATATTTTTATGTATTTATTTGATATAATTATAACTTATTATTTAATAATGGGCTAATGCTACAAAATATTCTATGGCTTTGGTTTAGGAGTACGATAGTGAATGCGTTTGTTAACTGTTCTAAAAAAAATTGATTAAAAAATTCGGCCAAAAAAATAATATAAAAAAGTGAGAGAGGGAAATATGTCCAGACTCACCAAATAAGTATAATTAGACAAACTAAAAAAATTATTTTGTATACAGTTTGTTAAATTATATGGTATTTTTTTCTACAAATAAAAAAAAATTGTTATTATGCTAAAAGATTCTTCTTAGCCATGTATTATTCATGTTACTAAAAAATATCAAATTAAAATCAAACTTTTTATTAGCGGTAATAATAACATTTTCTGTAAACAATATATCAAGTTTAATGATATAATATATATCCAAGATAAAGTTTAATTATAGCTTTTAGACAAAAATAAAATTTTGCAATTCCTTTAGGTTATATTCGCTCAAAATATAATATATTAGATAACATTTTCTAGTGTATACATGTATACTTTCTTTTTCGGTGTATTCAAGAAATACCTTATATATTTAGTCTTGAAGATTATAACCAATTTTAAAGTTGAGTTTATTTAGAAAAAAAATATTTTAGGTCTAAAATGAAAACAACTATAAAATATAAGGTCTTTTATGAAACAAAAATATCTAATTTACTTGTTGGTGACCTGCTAGGTTTGAAATAACAAGTAACACATAAAAGTTAGGTCTTTTTCGGAAAAGAAAAAAAATTTAGGTCTAAAAAGAAAAAAAATCAAAATATTGGGTCTTTTATGGAAATAACCCTTTTAAGAACGGATTTGTGTTGATTAAAACCAAGGTTCTAAATAATGTAAGGCGTGACTTGGCGGCAATGTCAAGTCTCAAGCTTTTCCGAGCCTTGGCGAGTCACGTCATTTGTAAGGCATGACTTAAGGCGGTAATTTTTTATATAATTTATATTTTTATATGTATTTTCAACTATTATTTATTTTTATACACATATATGAGTCAAGACGGCGTTTTGGTAAAACTTGGCGGCACATACAAGCCTTGGAGCCATGGGGCGCCATGGCGGAGTCATAGCAAGCTTTTTTAGAACCTTGATTAAAACCATTAGCAAGCTTACATCATATGTGGTTAAAGTATACATTAGATGAATTTGATTGATAATTTGAGTAAGAATTTGAGGGACTAACCTTGTACTTCTTTAGAGTTATTTTCAGTTAGATCAACCATGAAATCCATCCATAATCCTCCCAAAAAGAACATCCCTTCAATATAGAAGTGTATCTGTCATACAAAACACACAAACCAAGAATGGAGTCGCCTTCTTAGAATTATTGTCAAGAGCATATGCCACAGTGAGTCCCAAACTTGATGACAGTGCATCGTTTTACACTATATTTAGGAACTTGCAATTCTTTTTCTAAGCAGAATCTAATCGTGGGAAAGAGAGAGTGGTACATATTGATTGAGGACTTTTATCAAACAGGTAGCATGCAATATACAAGTTAGGCTTTTCGCAGAAGAACGATACTTTCTTTTACCATACGTTGAATGGCAACGTGATGCACTCTATGTTACTGTCGTTCGATTTCTTGCAGGGGCACCGAGTTCTAATTGCGGTGTTGGAATTTTATTGTGAGCAATTTCTCCGCTTATATGATGCCCCAAAATTCATCTCACGTGCAGACGTGGTTAATACCCGGCCTGAGGTTGATGCAAATGGGCTTCCGGAAGGAAACGCATCTATTTACCAATAAGGTATCTGATTTTGTTATATTTCTTTTAGTACCGATGTAGTTTTGTGCTTTGAAAACGTATTAGGACATAAAAAGCATCCTTAATTGGTAATAGATTGGTGGTCCAATCCAATTTCTGTCAAGGAAATTCCTCGTTTATGGAAATTTGTAATGTTTAGGTCTTTGATTTTGAAGTTGCTATGTTTAGTATAACCGATTGTGGATTGCTTAGATTAGATTGTCAACAGTATCATTTTGTTGGATTACTCTTCGTTGGATCTCGTAGACACTTTAATTAGCAAGAACCTGAGGATTTTCCATAATTAGATATAATATTTTGACTTTCTACAGTCAAATTTTGAAATCTCCAACCTTTGAACTTGATATGTAGTTATTTAAATTCCTCCATTAGAACCAACGAAGACAGTAGCTTGTAGTATTTTAAGGACACCATGTTAGCAGTTTTTGTTTTAGCTACTACATTGTCATGATTCATGTCATTTTGTATCATGCCATTTTTGTTGTTAACTTCAACTTTTGGTCTGGATTCTTGTAGTCATGGTCTATTCCTTGTTAGGAGTACCAGCATTTTTTTTTGTCAGTGATCTTTTGTTCTAAAGAAACATAGAACTTGTGGTGGTTACGATCTCCAAACCCTAAACTGTATTCTACATGAATAAAACTTGCTACTTGTAGACTTGTAGTTTAAGGTCTATAGAATTCATGGACCTTGGTATACCACTCTTAAGAAGAAAGTTAAATGTTACTTCAATATTTTGAGGAAAATAATCAAATATTGGTTTGTGCTCTTATTCAGTTGAATGCCAGAGTTCTGCAATCAGGACAATTAGTGATGTGGAGATTGAAAGGTTACTTACTGCTTTGCCCTTGCTAAAATCTAATATAAGAAAGGAAGACTCTATTACTCCAATATATTGAGGGAAATCTCCCAAACTTAACGGTGTCAAGAACTGAGAAAGATGGACCAATTGAAGTTAAATGCAAAGATAAAGATGATGATTTGTCCATGAACAAAGCTGAAGAAGGAAATATGATCACTTCATTTTTACAACATATGGCCATGGCTTATCTTGATTGCTCTACTGCCATGCCATATGCCATCTGTTGGTGGCTTTGACTTTTCAAGTAAAAATGGTAAACTGTTATGCAATAAGGGTTTGAGTTTTCATTTTGCATTATGATTTATTTACACACAGTTGGATTGATCCCTGCTTTCATTTATCTTGGTTGCAAGGAAAGCAAAGCTTCATTGGCACTGATAATCTTCATATCAAGGATTTTGTAGGTTATGCATTCTTTTCCTCAAAAGACCACCATATTTTCAAAGTAATACCTTTATTTCACAACTTATTCCAACGAAATACAAGATTCATCGTATACTCAAATTCATCCATATTTAACAATTAACACCCAAAATATCGAGTAACAAGACACCTCAACTATTTTGAAGTGTATCCAGAATATGCTGCAACTCATGGACAACATTTACGATATTCATCCGTTGCGTTGGGGAATCCACAGAGCATGATACTCCAAGTTTGACAGTTAAAGCCATGCATTCCTCTATTTTCTTTACATCTGCTATCATAGGAATAGCATCCTCTTGAAGTAAATTCAGAAGGTCATCATCAATAACATCGATTACATGGTCTGGCAAGGCCATGTCTGCAAATTTATGAAGGCTGAGGCCTTCATTAAAGATGTTGTCTGTCGGCCTCTTTCCTGTCATCACCTCCAACAATAGTATTCCAAAACTATAGACATCCCCACTACTTGTCATCTCACTCCCAACACCATACTCTGCAACTTATAAGCAGTTACCTCCTTAACAAAAGGTAACACTATAAATAAATATAAGAATATGGGAATACATGAACTTTACCTGGAGGTGCATATCCAATCGTTCCTCTAATGCCACTTGTGCTGTTTTGGTTTGAATTTGCTCCAAGAAATCGAGCTAAACCAAAGTCTCCAACATGGCCCACCATATCATCATCGAGTAGAATATTGCTAGGCTTCAGGTCACAGTGAAGGATGGATGGCTGGCAGTGATTGTGAAGATAATCAAGTGCAGATGCGACATCAATGAGAATATTTATTCTCTGGAAAAGATTCAGTCTGAATGTATTTGCACTTGAATGCAACCAATCATGTGAGCTCCCATTGGGCATGAACTCATATACCAAAGCTTTGAAATCATTGCCTTGAAAGTCAAGACTTGAACATGAAGTTATTATTTTCAACAGATTCCGGTGTCGAATGTTCCGCCATGCTTCACACTCCGCTATAAAGCTTCTGTGGGCACCTCGGTTTTGCAGATATATAACTTTGACTGCAACAATTCTACCATCATGATCATCAAGGACTCCTTTATAAACAGAGCCAAACCCACCCTCGCCAATCAAATTGGCTTGGGAGAAGCCGTTGGTAGCCTTTAGAAGTTGAGCATATGATACTTTCATGAACTGTTCGTTCCTTGACAATTGAGATGGTTGACTCTTCCTTTTCTTACACCAAACATATGCAAAACATAATATGGTGAAAAGTGTGGATGCAATCAGAATGAATATGGCGAACAAAGGAAACCTTTTTTTATGTTTATCATGAGTCTCATTGCATTTGGGCAGCCCAAGTTCAGGCAAGCCACCACAAAGCCTCCTATTTCCCAAAACAGAGAATGCACTTGCATTGGCAAACACTCCTGTCACCGGTACTTCACCCTCAAAATCATTAAAGGATAGGTCTACATATTCTAATAAGGTCAACTGTTCCAAGAATTGAGGAATTTTTCCCGATAAATTATTGTGAGAGATCGAGCGTTGAAACTCCTCTCATGGAACTTAATGAAGATGGTACCATGCCTTGAAATAAGTTGCCTTTGAGGTTTAAGAATACAAGACTAGTGCAACCACCAAGGCTACTAGGAATGTTACCTGATAAATTATTATGAGATAAATCCAGAGAACTCAACATCTTGAGTTCGCCGACCTCTATTGGGAGTGACCCAAACAGGTTGTTTTGAGAAAGATTTAATGCTATGGTTAGAGCTGGAATTTGAAGAAGTTGTTTAGGTATTGGGCCACTGAATTCATTGTGATCAAGGTACAACATCGATAAGTTATAACAATTTCCCAGGAGTGATGGGATATGCCATTCCAACTTGTTAGAATTCAACCAAAGTTTAGTCAGTGATGATAAGTTCCCGATGGCATCTGGAATTGGCCCTGAAAATTGGTTATCGTATAGATAAGCTTCTTGTGGATTTTGAAGCTTACCAATGGTGGAGGGGATCATTCCAGTAAATCGGTTTTCTCCCAAAACTAATTTGGTCAAGCCAACTAGATTACCTATACTTGAAGGGAGGCTTCCAGAGAAATGATTTCGTCCTAAATGTAGAAAACTGAGTTGGTCAGAAAGATTACCAATTGATGTGGGCAACGCTCCTTGAAACTTGCAATCATCAAGAAGCAACACATCTAGTCTGCTGCAATTTTTCAAGGTATCAATAAACTTCATATCATCAGTTTCTCCGAATCCAAAGGTGTTAACACCTAAGGATATTTGATAGATATCCTTCAGTTTTGCAAAGTCGATAGTCAACTTCCCGCTAAAATAGTTGGCAGTCACTTCAAGATGTTGTAATTTCGAACAATTAGATATCCAGCGTGGAAGAGGTCCAGTAAGTTGGTTACCCCATAACTGAAGGTACACAAGATATGGGAGCATTGTGACTAAGGGAAGAGTACCAATAAGCTGATTTTCAGGCAAGGAAAAATAAGTTAAGAGTGAGAGGTTATAGATGGATTGAGGGATGATTCCAGATAAGTTACAACCACCACAATCAATTTCTATCAAGCTTTTCCAATGGCCTAAGGTGTTTGGAATGCTCCCACCAAATGGATTGTCATTAGCGGAGAACACTTTAATTGATGTTATATTCCCCAAGAAAGGTGGGATTCCACCTGTTAAGTTGTTATATTGAACTACCATAAAAGTTAGTTTTGAGAGGAGACCGATCCCTTTAGGTATGCTTCCAACTAGCTTGTTATTATTAAGTCTAAGATCTTTAAGGTTAGAACAATGAGACAAGTTAGTTGGAATGACTCCGCTGATTTTGTTATAGCCAAGATAGAGGAAACGTAGCCTGGAGAGACGACCAATTTCATGAGGGATCATTCCTTGAATGTTGTTGTTCCTGAGAGAAAACACATGAAGGAAGCTGAGGGTGCGTTTAGTTGCGGAAAAATGGGCCGTTTTCCGGAAAAATTTTCCAAGAAAAATGAGAATTTTGAAAACTCGTTTAGTTCATCTATTTTTGGAAATTTTTTGGAAAACTGATAATCATTGTTTTCCATATTTTTCTAATTCCAAAATTTTTCTAAAATATAAACACACACCCACTCCTACCCCATCCACCTCTACCTACCCCACCTTAACACCCCCACCCACACACGCACCCACAAACACACACACATACATACCCACCCCCACACACACCCACCCGCGCACACACAGACACACACACCAACCCACAAACACACACCAACCCACCCACACACACACATACATACCCACCCACACACACCCACCCACAAACACACACACACACATACATACCCACCCACACACACACCCACCCACAAACACACACACATACATACCCACCAACACACCCACACACACACAAACACACTCACACCCACACACACCCCCACAAACACACACACACACAAAGCCACACCTACCCCCACCCTCACAGACACACACCTACACACACACAAACCCACACCTAACCCCACAAACACACACATACACACACACGCACCCCCACCCACCCAACACCACCACCACAATCACCGACCTACCATCACCATCACCACTAACCCGTCACTAGCACCACCACCACCGCTGCCGCCGCCATCACCACCACTGATACAATTGCCGCCGCCACCACCATCGCCTGTCATCACCACCACCGCCGCCGACCCGCTACCGTCACCGCCCCCACCCACACCATACCACCGCTACCGTTTTCTAAAAATGAAAACCGATAGAAAAATACACATCTAAACACGTTTTCTAATTTTCTAAAACTGAAAATGAAAAATGAATAAGTTTAACTAAACGCGTTTTCTAAATTTTTCAATGAAAAATGAAAACGGAAAACGAAAATCGAAAAGGGAAAACAAAAAACGGAAAATGAAAATTGTTTTTCCGTAACTAAACGCAACCTGAGGTTCCCTACATAAGGAGACAACGACCCTTCTAGTCCTTGCGACTCCAATACTAGAGCAGTGACGCTTTTATTCTGCTTCCCACACGAAACACCACTCCAATCACAGAAATGAAAGGAAGCGTTCCATGAGCTTAGACCTTCGTTTGTGATCATTGACTTGAACTTCAATAAAGCCTGATAATCGGTCTCGTTACCACCATCAAAAGCAGAAATAGCGCCGAAAATCAGAAATATAACAAGATTAGAAAAAAGGAGAGCAATATGAGAGTTCATTTTTGCAACTAAACTTAGGAGTTTTTTTTTTTTTTTTTTTTTTTTTTTTGAACAACGAGGGCAGAGTACAAGGTTAATTACATGTAGGCCTTTAAATTTATACTCAGGTTTTGCATGTAAACATACCTTATCATCGTGACCATGACAAATTGAGGGTCTTACTTGTCAAATAATTTATAGCAATAATTATGATGATGATATTTTTGTCAACATATTTCCAGCCATTAGTGTTTTGTTTTGTATATAAGAAATAGTCTAAGAGAGTAAAAAATAACTAGAAATACTACTATGTTTATTGTATGAATTGTCGGGGACAAAGAGTAACAGCTTCAAACCAAAGATATCATGATCATCCTGCAACCTTGCCAATCAAAATAAACTAAATTTTGGTGTGATATCTTTGCCAAATTACATCAAAGTAACATTATTTATATAAGTTTTGTAAGTATTGAAGTTTTACTTCATACTCTTATCATATTCTGAATGATCACATTACTATTATACATTGAACATAAAATGTAAAAGTTCAATTACACAAAATGTATCACTAAAAATCTCATTGTGATCTTTAAAATAAATATATTACTAAATATGATTTCTAAGTTTAGTTATAATTGTTCTTATGAAGGTTTTTATACTTACCTATTTTTTTTAAATATTTAATAGTGTGAATATTGTAAAATTCTGAATAGAAGGCATATAAAGTATAAACATTTAAGTAAAATAAACTAAAGTATTGATTAAAAAATTCAAAAGTTTATGACATAAATAGGTAACAAATTATTTTAAAGGGTTTAAAATAGGGATGAGCATCGGAACTGGGTATCCGCTTTCGGAATTGGAACTGCCTCGGAACCGCCGATTCCGGAATCGGAACCGCCTTAAGTGGTTCTGGTTCTGGTTTTCATTTTTACAGAACCGCTACCCGTTGGGTACCCGCCGAAACCGGCATATATATATATATATATATATATATATATATATATATATATATATATATATATATATATATATCACAATCACATACGTTATACAATATTCTCCTGAATAACATGATTTAAATTTCTAGAATTTTAAATAATTTGTTTTGAAACTTTAAATGTCCATATATTCACTTAAACTATCCATTTAAAAAAAAAATTTATAGATAATAGACATAAGTTACTATTATGTTAATGGTTAAATTCTAACTCATAGAGATATTTGTTTAACTATGGAGTTCAATTCTTTGAATGCTAACTCATAAGTATAGTTTTAAATGTTTTAAAAATTCAACAAATTTAACGAACCGGGTACCCGTTAGTGAAACCGCTACCCGTCGGTTCCGGTTCCGGTTCCAACATTTTAGGAACCGCCGGTTCCGATTCCAGTTCCAGATAATTAAGGCGGGTACCCGCCTACGCTCATCCCTAGTTTAAAATACTATTGAATTAAATAAATGTTGTCAGCCGATAAGTATTTATTATTAAAAAACCATTTTAAATGTGATAGTAGGTTTTTCCAATTACAATTGTCTTTTAAAAATAAAATAACTAAATTATTGTCTTATTTCAAATTTAATTGTACTTTTAAAACGTTTTAGATACTTTATTATTTACTCATATATTTCATTATCTCAAAACTTACCGTTTCTCATAAAATCAGCATCTTATTAAAAGCCATGTTAGATAAGCCCAAAAAGTCATGTTAACCCAGCCCAAAATAGAAGTATTTTCTTTTCTTTTCTGTTTTTCTTTTTAATTTTTTACAATAACCCTGTAAAAGCATAAGGCCATAAGCTTGCTTTAACAGTAGTTGACGAGTACACACCAGTCACGCAGTTGCTTGACTACCTGCTTGAATTGCGTCTCCCGTTTCTTTCCCTAACCCCTTCCGGAAACAATCTCCGGTGAGACATAAGGTAAGTCTTTTATCTCGCTTCATGACTCCGCGCGTTTTTATTCTTATTACTAGTCCCGTATTTATTTACAATGTTCTTGCTATGTTTTCTCGTTGTTTGTCAAATGTTTACTAGGGTTTATCGGATTCAAATAATTCATTGTTCATTGACTTATTTTGGTTAGGAGTTATTGATTTAATCTCTATTTGTACGAAATTTACTTGATTTAATCTCTATTTGTACGAAATGTAATGGGGATATTAACTGGTCATTAGCAAATTTCCCATCCTATCATACTTTTTGGGGAGAGGGGAATGCAGATGATTGGGTTATTATTAGGTTAGGAGCAAACTGATACTGATTCGATATTTCTGTTATTGGTCGTTAGCTATGTATTTTGTTGTTGTGAAAAACCTAGATTGCTCTGAGAACCACGAGTGCTGTAGACGTTAGGTGTATTAGATAAGGATGAGATTTTAGTTTGCGCTTGAATATAAGGGGTAAACCACAGAAACATAATTGTCCTCATAAGTCACATACAGAATTGGCTCATTTGAATTTTTGTTTCTGGTTGTAAGGAGATTAGGGGAAAAAGCTATCAAGCAAATAACCCCAAACTTTAGGTGAGGAATAGGAAGCAGGAAGTAGATGGAACACGCAAACTGGGGATAGATATGGAAAAAAGTAATGGTGAAAGAAGATATTATAAATCAAATATTATGGCATTATCTGGAACTCTTTCACAAAAGGGCATCATGTTGCTTCAACTTCATGACCCCAAATATTGGCATGTTTATGTATGTTACCTCTTTGCAACATGACCACCTGTGATGGAGTTATTAGGAAGAACATGTTGCGAAGAACTTTGCACATTAGTTTACTTATGCAATTACATGATTGAAGATATGCTTTTTCATGATATAGCAAGTGCCTTTATTGAGTAATTCACTTACATGTTTGCTTGGTTAAACAAACACAACTATTGAGTATTAAGTATTGATACAAGAATCAATATAAAAGAGGATGTGTTCTAACTAACAATAATCACACCATTGTAAGTTTACTAAGTGAGGCTCAATTGATCAATCTTTTGATGCCTTTGAGTATCCAGTGAAGTATAGATACTTTTTTTTTTGAAGTCTTGCCTTGGTGATATATAAGTAAAATAAGTGCCCTATTTATACCCACACAAAAAGAACTAATCTGTTCATCCATGGATATCTGCAGACTTCTGTAGCTGTCAGTGGACTTTAATGTTTGAAATCTTCTACTTAGCACTCTGCAGATATTTTCAGTAATAAAATCATCTCCTAAAAACCTGTGGATGTCTGCTGAATTTTGCAGGTATCCATGGAATACAGTGTTTTGACATTTTTATACAAGGCTTAAAAGTAAAATCATGTAATAAAATGTTTTGTAATTCTTATTGAAGTTGGAAAAGTAAAAAGTCATTGTTGGAAAAGACTTATAGGTCCATTACTCCATTGGCATTAAAAGTAGACATTTTTTGTGAAAAGAACTAAAATGAACATTTCTTGTGAAAGATGGAAGAAACTGTACTCCACAGATGTCCATGGATGAACAGATCAGTTATTGATCAAACCCTTCCACTTTTTCTGTGTTATTCAAAAGTAGGTAAATGTTACCTACAACAGGTTGTTGGCACTATCATGCTTCAGTAATCATTTGAAACTATTTTTCTTGGTGTAATAACATTTTTTCCTAGTTCACACATGCTCTTTTGTTAGTGCAAAAGTTTGAACCTGCTTGAATTTACTAAAGTTTAGCAATTAACTGTAAAATATGATAGCATAAGCCGTGTGTGAACGTTTACATTAACAAAACTCTACTTCAGATCTGTGTTAGCATGCTAAAGATGTCACTTTGCAAATGATATGACATTTGATGCTTCTTCCAGAAGTATATAACTTTGCTCCTGTCAGGCATAATGTTCCTGTTTTGTGCTTATTATATAAAATATAAACTATAAAGGATCATTACATATTATCCATAACTTCATTATTGAAAAGAATCTGATGCATAAAATGTTTTTTCCCAAGGTCAATGCTAAATTCTGGTGAGTGCCATATGTTTTGCATATTGAATGATATATTTAAACACATGTCTTATACTTTTGTATCTAATGAAACATGCCTGTTTATTAAGTAATGACTACATCCTTTTTTAGGTAATTGTTGCCCCTTCCATCTGGTTTGACAAAGAGTGGCGTCTGTCAAATGAAGAAGAAGAGAGCAGGAACATCACTTAAAGCACAAGTGGAAGAAAAGAAGCCCAAAGTAACAGTTAAACATGAGACATCTGAGGAGGAAGAATCAGAAGGTGAAGAAGAAACACAAGTAGTTGAAGAAGTAGAGGAAGAAGAAGAAGAAGTTGAAGAGGTAGAGGTTGAAGAAGAAGAGGAAGAAGAGGATGAGGAAGAAGAAGAAGAAGAGGAAGAAGAAGAGGAGGAGGAAGAAGAAGAGGAAGATGAAGAAGAAGATGATGAGAGTTCTAAAAAGGAGACTCTTAAGAAGCTATTAGAGCCATTATCAAAAGCCAAGATCATCGATTTCATCAAAGAAGCAGCTCTGAGTGACACTTCAATAATGGCTACCCTCACCCAGACTGCTGAGGTGGACCCCGCCCACCGCAAGATCTTTGTCTACGGCCTTGGCTGGGACGCCACATCAGACCAAGTCCTCTCCGTCTTCAAACCTTACGGCGATATCGAAGAGTGCAAAGTTTTAATGGATAAGGTAACGGGAAAAGCCAAAGGCTACGGCTTTGTTCTCTTCAAGACCCGAAAAAGCGCACAAAAAGCCCTCAAACAAACACAGAAAAAGATAGGATCCCGCATGGCATCTTGCCAGCTGGCTTCAGCAGGTCCAGGTGGACCCACCAACAACCCGACCGGTGTCACTGCCACGTCAGATCCAGCCGGACGAAAGATCTTCGTCGCAAACGTCGGGTCCCACGTGAATCCCAACGCGCTCAAGTCCTACTTCACAAAGTTTGGAGAAATCGAGGATGGGCCGTTGGGGATGGACAATGCAACTGGAAAGTTCAAAGGGTTTGCCATGTTTGTGTATAAGACAGTTGAAGGCTGCAAGAAGGCTTTGGA